CTCCCCTAAGAGAAGTCTCTGTCCGATCCACATGCTCCTCTGCAGCAGTCGGCTTTCCTCTATCTCCTAGTCTTTTCGAACGAAGTTCTGCTAGCACTGAATTCTCTCCCCATATAGCGATCAGATCCAGTACCTCCCATATGGTCCATGCTGGTGCTCTTTTTCGATTATCAGCCTGCCTGGTTATCTGTGCTGATGAGCTCTCTGGTCACCTATGCTCTCCTGTGCTGGGCAAACAGGAAATGAAATTCAAATGTTCGCGGGGCTTTTCCTGTCTACCTGACCAGTGCATCCGAGTTCAGATTGCTGTCCAGAGCGGTCACAATGGTGCACTGTGGGATAGCGCCTGGCGGCCAATACCATCGAATTGCGGCCACACTAACCCTAATTCGAAATGACAATCTCGATTTTGGTGCTACTCCGCTTGTCGGGGAGGAGTACAGAAATCGATTTTAAGAGCCCTTTATTTCAAAATAAATGGCTTCGTTGTGTGGACGGGTGCAGGGTTAATTCGATTTAATGCTGCTAAATTCGAATTAAACTCAGAGTGTAGACCAGGCCTTAGAATGAACTACTGGGAGTAACCAAAAGCTACAGCTTTCACTGAAACATTTGTGTGTACTCAAATTTGAATACATATCTCCCTTTTGTGATCCTCAGAGACTGGGGATTCTATGCTTTGCCAATGTCTGATAGACCTGAGGATTCAGATGAGAGCAAACTGGCTAGAGCTTATCTCTTGACTAGATGAAAGTGATGCTGGGTGGAATGGGGAAGCATTGTGAGGAATTGGAAGGGAGATGCTTGTTCCTTCTAGTGCAGGAATACGACATGGTCTTGCCAATATCTTTTGGAGTTTAGAGGCATACTTGACTTGCCACTGCTTCTGGGTTCTCAGATAGCAGCAGTGGCTCATACTAGTTTGTTTTTTCCTCCCCCCCCCCACCAAGTGAGGTTGGCTGGAAAACAGTTGCTTCTCTTGACACAATGATCTATGATTTTGTCCCTCCCAGACTGAATTCCTGGAGTGGGCTTTATTTGGATCTACCCTTGACAGTCATCAGAGAGAACAGAATGCAATGGTTCAGTCTCAGAGAGGTGAGTCACAGAGTACATTACACCAGCGCTCCCATGAGTAGGGTGACCATTTCACTAAACTGAAAATGGGACACCGGCTAAGCGGCAATGACAGGCAGGTGCGCTAATGCCATGTGGGGCCCCTTGTCCAGACCCCACCGTGACTTTTTTGGCAAAACTTGGAATGTATCCCTTTTGTTCTTGCCCAAATGTTCCTCCATGCCCCTCCTCCCCCAGGCAAGAGAAAACTGGACAAATGCCCAGTTTTGCTAAAAAAGTCATGACATCAGGGACAGAGCTTAAAAATGGGATGTATGGTTACCCTATCCATGAGCTGCACTGTAACTGATATGCTTCTGGTACAAATCAATGTGTTGGTCATGATCCTTAAAGCCCTGAACTCAGTAACCTGAGACACTGCATCTCAGTTCAGATCTATTGGGTTGCTTCTGCTGTGCATTTCTGAAGTTGTATTATCCAGAACTAGACACTGAAAGCTCTACTGAAGTGAGTGGAGTGTGAATTGTTTTTTTGGATGGTGTGTGTGTGACAGCCTGTTTTTTGTCAAACAGGGCACAATGTAAGGAAAACCTGCTAATCAAGTCCTCATTTGCATATTATTTATCATGCAGAGTATTTAGTATATTAGTTTAGTCTCTAATTCGAGAGAACAATTTGCTCTACTTCAATATCTGACGGGCTCAGAGGCTACCAGAAGGAGCGTCATACAAAACGAATTAAAAATAAGTAGGGCTATTAACTCACACGATTAATTCAAAAAAATTAATCCTGATTAATTACAGTTTTTAATCACACAATATTATTGGATGTTTTTCTACATTTTCAAATATATTGATTTCAATTACAACACAGAATACAAAGTGTACATTGCTCACTTTATATTTTTATTACAAATATTTGCACTGTAAAAAACAAAAGAAATAGTATTTTTCAATTCACATTATGCAAGTACTGTCGTGCAATCCCTTTATTGTAAAAGTGCAACTTACAAATGTAGATTTTTTTTTGTTACATAACTGCACTCAAAAATAAAACAATGTAAAACTTTAGAGCCTACAAGTCCACTCAATCTTACTTCTTGTTCAGCCAATCGCTAAGACAAACAAGTTTGTTTACATTTACAAGGGACAATACTGCCCACTTCTTATTTACAATATCACCAGAAAATGAGAACAGGCTTTTGCATGGCACTTTTTTGCAGCCAGCATTGCAAGGTATTTACGTGCCAGATATGCTAGACGTTCGTATGCCCCTTCATGCTTCGGCCACCATTCCAGAGGACATTCTTCCATGCAGACGATGCTCGTTAAAAAAATAATGGGTTAATTAAACTTTAGACTGAACTCCTTGGGGGAGAATTGTAGGTCACCTGCTCTATTTTACATGCATTCTGACAAATATTTCATGTTATAACAGTCTCGGATAATGACCCAGCACATGTTGTTTATTTTCAGAACACTTTCACTGCAGATTTGACAAATGCAAAGAAGGTACCAATGTGAGATTTCTAAAGATAGCTACAGCACTCAACTCAAGGTTTAAGAATCTGAAGTGCCTTCCAAAATCTGAGAGGGAAAAGGTGTGGAGCATGCTTTCAGAAGTCTTACAAGTGCAACTCTCTGATGCGGAAACTACAGACCCCAAACCTCCAAAAAACAAAATCAACCTTGTGCTGGTGGCATCCGACTCGGATAATGAAAATGAATGTGCGTCGGTCTGCACTGTTTTGGATTGTTATCGAGCAGAATCCGTCATCAGCATGGACATTCCTCTGGAATGGTGGCTACAACCATTTCTGAAGTGGACAAGTATACATTAAGGACTAGATAGCAATTATCAGATTATGTCCCACAGCCCAACTGAGCAGCCAATTTACTGTCTGTACTGAGCAGAGCATGAGAACTATATCACAAGACCAATGCCCTTCTTTCTCACTACTGAGTTAAATTATATGAGTACCTGTCATGTATCAGTGAAAAGGAGAACAGTTCATATAGGTCCGGGGTTGGCAACCTCTGCCATGCAGCTCGTCAGGGTAAGCACCCTGGCGGGCTGGGCCAGTTTGTTTACTTGCCACGTCAGCAGGTTCAGCCGATCGCAGCTCCCACTGGCCGCAGTTCGCTGTCCCAGGCCACTGGGGGCAGCGGGAAGCCGCGGCCAGCACATCACTCGCCCACGCCACTTCCTGACACAAACTGGCCCGGCCTGCCAGGGTACTTACCCTGGCGAGCTGCGTGCCAGAGGTTGCCGACCCCTGATATAGGTTAAGGATTGGAATCAAATTCTAAATCTCTAAGATCTACCTGTGTTAGCTTGCTACTTTAGTTACAGAAAATAGAACACAAAACAAATATTTGTAATTAAAACCCAAACAAAATGGGCCAAATCCATTCCCAGAAACTAACCAAAGTGAATTGGGACTAAAATGTTTTACATTGTGTTCTAGAGTTTTATAACCTCCAGGCTCTGAAGATTGTCAAGGGCCTTGTCCTCATGAGGACAAACAATGTATAATGTTTATTAGCTACCAGGCGTTAAAATCCTACTGTAGACAAGACAGATGTCCTTTTAGCTGTTCCAGGTAAACCTTAAGCCCCCTCCTAGGATAATTCTGAAGGCAAGTTACATTCATTCACAGATTCTAGCACATAGGTAAGTCCTTCATTGGGTCAAAGTACCTGTCTGATGGCCTGATCATAAAATCTTTCATGCTGAATATTAAGAGAAACCCCATCAGAGCATTGCCCAATAGGAAAGCAATATGAAAATCCCGCAATATGTTAAAGGCAATTAGCGTTTTTGCTGCCCCAAGCTGCGAAATTTTTTTAAAAAAAAGACGCGATTGGCGGCACTTCGGCAGCAGCTCTACTGCCGCCGCTTTATTTTTCAGCAGCAATTCGGTGGCGGGTCCTTCCCTCCAAGAGGGACTGAGGCACCTGCCGCCGAAGAGCCGGATGTGCCGCCCCTTTCCGTTGGCCGCCCCAAGCACCTGCTTGGTGCGCTGATGCCTGGAGCTGGCCCTGGCAATTAGCGTGATCTGTGCATTGAAGAAAATTAGATATATCTATCAACTTGGAGCACAACTGAACTCTTTTAAGTGTGCATAAGAACTGGTATCTGCCATCCATGGACAAACCACCCTTTAAAGTTATCTTTTCCTAGAGTGCTGCTAGTACACAAATGGTGTCAATGAAGCAAACTTCAATTGTATTACAGCGGAGCATATACATTTTAATATAAAACAACATGACAACAGAATATTGGTAAATTCAGGTCAGTTTTATAAAGGTCACAACTCTATTTCAATCAGTTCCCAGATACTTTGGGACATGCAAGTTGGCAAGATATAATGATCATAATAAAGCAAAGACCAGGCATTACAAGAAATATAATAAGACTTTGAGCTGAATTTTCTGAAAGGAGCCATCTGTTTGGTGGATGATGAAGTCATACCCCTCCAGCAATCTTCAAACAATGCATGGGTATGACATTGACCTAACCACCTTGCTTACATTTTAAGCACCACTTTCCATATTATAGCAAATAAGCTCAAGAAAATACAATAAACAGAAAAATAATCCAAATCTTGAATCTTTTATTCTTGTGTTAAGTGGGAATCTTTTAAAAAACTCTTAAACAGAAAGATCACTATTAATACTCTTAAGAAAAAAAAGAACCGGAGTACTTGTGGCACTTTAGAGACTAACAAATTCATTTGAGCATAAGCTTTCGTGGGCTACAGCCCACTA